GGCGGGGAGACCACCGCAGAAGCTCTTGAAAGACTTGATCTTGCCACCCTCCTGCTGGATGCGGTCGATGAAGTCGACAGCGTAAAGGTGATCGACACTTATATGTGTTAGCGAAAGGTCAGAATCGTATGTGGTCGAGAAGCATACCCAGGGTCAACCTGAGATGGTCAGCAAGCTAGAATTGGAAGACAGGGTGTCATTACTTACACCAATCTCGTTCAGGACTGTGATGCCGGCAGCCTTAGCCTCCTCGTGGAGCTCCTCCATAGCAGGAGAGACGTAAGAGGTAGTGACGACATTCTTCTTAGCCTTGATAGCGGCCTTGATGACAGCAACGTGGTATGTGTAGGGAATCAGAGAGATGGTGATGTCGTGCTTAGCGACAGCCTCCCCGAGAGCAGCGGAATCGTTGACGTCGAGGCTAATGGCGTTGGTGTTGTCGAAAGTTCCAGCGAGGTTCTTGGCCGAGGCGAGAGTACGGCAAGCAACAGTAACGTGAACGCCAGCCTTAGCGAGGACTTCGACGGCAGGGGTGGCAACGAAGCCGGAACCGAGGAGGAGGGCGGATTGAGGCATTGTTGACGATGAATTGATCTGTGGTGTTGTGATAGAGAGATTCTCTTTGGAAGCGAAAGAATTTCCAGGAGCTCTTACTCAGTCAACGAAAATGTAAATGTTCTGCCCCGCATTTTGGTAGGTGACAAGGGACACCTCCCCTCCCGGCTTTCGGAGGTTGAGGAGCTGTAAAGATAACGTAGGTATTTTCCAACCGATACCGGGGGCCATTGAGTACGGGAGGTAACCCGTAGCAAAGCGTAGAACTGGCGCTAAGAACGGGGTTTGAGCCTGGGTTACTGGGGCAGGCCTGTAATGTCTTTGCTTTGTGACGGAATCGCGGTTAAAAGTGGGCATCTTGACGATGTATGTAAAATACATACCTAGACGAGTTTTTGATGTCTAAATTGGAATGTGTTCCCGAGATAAAGACACTAATAAATTTTAACTCATAAGTAGCGTTTATATACAAGACAGAACATTCGTTCCTGCAATCCATATATTAAAGGTAAAATGGAATCAGGCTACGCACATCAACTTCCAAAGCACGAGTCAGTCTGAGGCAGATAACAAGAAAACAAAGGCCAGAACCCCTGTAAGCCGAATCACACAAGGCTCAATTGGTCGATCACGGGCCAGCAATCTCTAGCGAAGAGTCCCGGGGAGTTGAAAATGCGGCCAGGGGATGGCAAAAGTCTCAGCATTTAATGTTGAATGATAAGAATATTTTGCAAGACTCAGACCATCTTGGGTTAATCTGGGATCGATTCAGTCAATTCCTTGACTCCCTATCTAGATAACTACCCTCGCACTCATCCAAAGTCTTCGAGTGAACACCCGCAAGTAAGGCCTTGCAGTTTGCAAGCATGATCAACTGACCAAAGAGTTCAATTTGTATACATTGGGAACTCATAACTTCTGAACAGGGGGATTGAAAGTACACTCTGTGTGAACCCCTGGGCTTATGTAGAGACCCTCCCTGGACACATCCATACTTGATTCATTGGAATTAACCTGCCGCGTAATTGATGTGAAATTGTACTGAAAAGCTGCTTTGAAGGTAAAAGAGTCAATAAGATGTTTGAACGCAGTCACTATTTGAATCGTTAGATATTGCACGACCCAACTCGCTACCGGGGAGTATTCGGGTGACATAAGAAGTAGTTACTATAAATCGTCAGTATTACCGCGTTTCAAAAAGTCAAGATAACTAAAAGTCGGATCGAAACTGATTCAGGCACAGAGGTGAGCAGACTTGACAGGGAGTGAGGGCTTATTAAGATGATGTATATCATTCAAAGCCAGGGTTACGTAGCCGTCCCCCGATCGTCACAGAGAGAGAAAACCACCCACGCATTCATTATCCCAGTACCATTGGTGTGGCTCATGTATTAGACTGACGACAGAGAGAAGGGATCTTTCCCTCCTCCCTGGTTCGAGTATGTCACACCTGGTTGTGCAATTTCATTCCTCTAGTTAGAGAGTCCGGCCTTTAAGCTACATGATAATCAACGGAAACAACATGGATTAGCCAAGACTCACGCCCTGAGGTGAGGTCAATTGCTATTGGTAGTTGACAGAAATCATCCGTGCTTTATGATACCGCCTCCCTTTTTGTAATTTGGTGGACAGACCTCAGGTTACACAAGGCGTCATGCAAGGCTCAGGCCATTTGATTTCCATTAAGGCAGGGAGAATTACAATGTCACATAAACACTTGTCACATAATAGCACCAAGAAACTCAATCTAACCAACAAAGGATATTATGGCTAACCGAAGACGTGTAGAAAACTCGGCATGAGAATGATCGCTGCGATGCTTTAGGCAGAAAGCACTAAGAATAGAACAAATCACAAAAAGAGTAGTTTCAGCATCAGTCAGCCTTGAGAGTATTGCGTTGGTCCAGATCAAGCAAATATTCACTGCTAGCCATAATTTTAGGGGCTAGGTCTCGTAATGGGTGAGGCTTTACCCGCCTTTGACCCAAACCTGGCCCAACCTGACACCTGTAAACGCCGACCTTGCAGTGCGGCATCCCACCGATGCGCTACTGCGTGGCAGAATATCTGTGAGGCTTCGATGGAGATATGATATCGACCGCTGAGGGAACGACGCTAACATTTGGCGGACCCGGCATTTCCATTCACTCTCCCCGAACCCGAATGGTAACTTGAACCATCCATCGCTTATTAGAGCTTCGATGGCCCCATGCCAAGTTTCCCGGAAGTTTGTATCGACATAGCCGGATTCAAACATTTCTATGGGCCCAAAATGATGTCCTCTGAAATGTTTCAGTCGAAAACGGAGAGGTATGGGGTCAGCTGAGACTTGGTCTTAACTTAAACTTCCGTCGACCCGGTTAATCAGAACGCGTACGGGATGTGAATATGAAAAAGTTCGATGATATGATTGTGAGCTCACCTGTCTTGAACTTGATGTTTGCGATCTCGAGCGATTAGTTTGTATTAAATCACTGATTTTGAAATATCTGAAAGACAAGCTCATACCCATCAGCCAAGAAACTCTGTCTTTAATGGAAATTTTGCTGAAGAGTCCTGCAGGTCTCCAGGAGGTCGGCCGGTGGCTCAGTTGTATGCTGTTGGTTGTGAATTTGTTTCCCAGTGGGTGTGTATGGTCCTGTCGGGTTCTGCCTAAAACAACCCCCCCCCCCCTGCGTGCGGATTCATCGCACGGAAGCTTGGCCCAACACCATCATCTCGTGTGTGAAGCCTTGACCATGTATTCGTTATCAGCTTTGGTCGTCATGCAGGATCTAATAATGGCTGTTCACCAATGAGTGTCTACTGACAGATTCCTTCGAAGCAGCCTCACCGTAGCGGTGAGTCTGAGAGGGCGAACCCGTCCCAACCGACCCGATCAGCCAAGAAGGGCGTTCACTCACTCAAGGCACCCAAGTCAGCCTTGAAACTCAATTTTCAGTCATTATCTGTTTGTTCCCTCCGCCATCTTCTCTCTTGTCTCACTTACTTTCTTCTTCCCGTTTTTTTGTCGGCTCCATCCCTTGTGAGTCGTCATCTTCATCTCCCACGAGCTTTTACCTCCGAGACATTCGAATCTCCCTTGATCATCCAAGACTACAACACCATGTCTCAGTCTACTTAGGTGCACATTAGTCTATTAGACTAGTGCAGCCAGTTTACCCTATCTTCAGCAGCACCATGCCATCCCCCTTACTGATGCGTGCACGCGAGTGTCAACGGACTCGCCTCGCCCCGTCCCGCGGCTCCTTATTAACGAGATGGATATTATGATGCCGGGATGTAGAGAAACTCCGTCATGCCTTTGCCGTCGTATAAGATGCACAGAACGTTTCCTGCATCTTGTTGCTGTATTTACTCAAACAACCTTCAACAACAATCTCGGGCGAGCCCTTAGTACACCGGTTTCCTGAACTTTACGACACAAGAATCTTTGGTTCTTTGACTGGAGCATGAAGCTCTGGATACATTCCATAATGGAAGATACCGTACAATCGGAGTAAGTTCTTGCTCCTATACTCTATTGGCGAACCTTTGCCCCCCGCAGGCTATGATATTGAAGTCAAGTTCCTCCACTGACGAGAAATTTTGTTCAGATGCGCTAGCTACGAAGAACGTTACTCGATCCGATCGCAGGCCGATTTGATCTGGTCCATAGAGAGACAACCTTCAGTCCAGCTGCATGCCTATCTCCGACAACCATCCAGGGATGACCCCTTTTCAGTATGGTCGACGACGCCAATTGACCCTTCCTCGAACCTTACCTTTCGGCACATCGAAGCACTTGTTAATCTTCGTATCACTTCATGCGTTGTATATATTTATCGCAGAATCCTCGTTCTTTTATTCCAGTCACAGGCTCTTGTTGAGCCTGCAGCCCAAACACATCAACGTCCGTCACCACAAGCTCACACCGCGGATACTCAGCTTGATACGTACGGCATAGGGGCACAGTTTGAAGGGCCCTGAACTCATGGGTGGTAACTGCAATAGCTGTCATGCCATCCACATGATGAAGGACGTTGACTCAATGATAGATGGGCATTTTCCAGCGATGTACGAAAGATGTCAGGAATCCCCCTCCTCTGACGGATGTGGGGCTCATGAAGTGAAACAAGGCTCAGAAAGTAAATGGGTGTGAGGAGGCGAGAGAACAACAGAGTAACCACTATTTTACAGAGTAATTCCTTTTGTGTTTCTACCTTACTATTGTGCCATTTGTGTGATTTCTTCGTCTCGCTCTCGCTTAAGCTCCCACTTCCTACTCTTCCCTTTCCGCTTTTTCATCAACTGTGATATCACCACTCACCTCACATCCCTTTATCCGCTGCCTGCACCACCATCTCTCCTATCGAGAGAACTCCTTGGATGTTTTATAATTGACTTTCTAACGCATCTCTGACTTTCCCATTTAGATACCCCCGAGTTTTATGCTGTTGCATACTATGGCCGCCGCAGATCAGCCGCAGATGGGAGAAGACCAGAAGAAGATAGCAGCTCACCCTCAAGTCCGAGTTGTTGGAGATGACATTCTTAGTCGCTCGTCTCTGACCTTAAAGGAAGACACCTCATTCAACGATCTTGTCAGATCCATCTACCCTAAGCATGCCATCCTCACCGATGACATGAAAGATGACCTTATGAGCGCTATCTTCCTTGACTGGACCTCAAAAAGCAAGGGCATCATTGTCTCTGCCACAAAGATTAGCAGCCCAAAGATCGAAGTGGTTGGGTGTCCAGCTAGAGTCTGGACTGACCACTCAGACTCTCCTTCGCTGTCGCCTCCCCCTCGGTCCTCGTCATCAGCATCGCCGCCGCCAACGAAGGCAGGTTCAAAGAGAAAGCGCGAGCCTGGCATCTCAGAGCCCCGAAAATCACCAAGACGAGAGCAGGCTGCACAGCGTAGCGAGACTGCATACTACGTGGTAACCGTAAACGACAACACAGGAGCGCTTCGATTCCAGTGGAAAAACTCCGCAGGAGGGTATGGCAAGGCCTCCAGCGTCAAACTTAATGGCTATGCCATCGAAGAAGCGGAATTCGAGGCCATCGAAAACCGCGACGCCTACTGGGAGCGTGACGCGTTCGTCCACAACCGCGAACGTGCGATTGCGCTGGGTCGCAAGCGCGTGAGAGAGTTCGCGAAGGCTGGGTCCCAGGGCAAAGACTCTATGATAAAAAACGACCTCTTACCTAACGGCTTCGTCTACCCCAAGCTCGCCCGAGATGAGCAGGACAAATACCTCGACAGGATTCTTCAGCAGAGGAAGTGGAGGGAGGAGGCTCGATCTTCAACTCGATGAACGTTTTCGCTCAGTTTCTCTCTCTCTTCTTTCTCTAGCGGAGGCATGATTCGTTGAGACAGATTGGCGAGGATGGCGTGGGCTGACGTTTTGGGTTGCTATTGACGGTATCCGCGAGGCTCTTTCATTGTCTTTCTTTTGTACTTGGGTTCGGTTCAGTGTCTTCTGCTCTGGCCAATGGGTTTAACAGGTTCTTTATTCTTCTTGGGAGCAAACGGCCTGGAAGCCAAAAGCCAAAAGCCAAAACAAACCTACAATCTCAGATCGTGATGAGAACCGACTAGTCAAATAGCAATCCATTTCAATCAATAACTGCCCTAAGCCTTTTTATCACTGAGGACTCTTAACTAGTCAAGGGGTTGCAATACAACTTGGGACCTCTATCCTTGGTAACAAAAAGCCTTAGGTAAACTTAGTGTAATTTAGTTAAGATATAGAGGATCTTAGACTAATTAAGTATCTTTGACATCTCATTTTAATGTCAGAAGTCTTGTTACACCCTGAGGCTAGTCCGAGCTTTTGTCCC